TGTGGAGCTTTTTAAACTAGACATGAGGCAATTGAATGAAAATGTTAGGGGAGGGGAGGGGAGGGGTGTTCCCCAGGTATTTTTTAAAAGCTCTATGGGTGATTCTGATATACAGGGCAGGGTTGAGAACCACTACTTTAAAACATTAGTCATTGGCGCAAAAATAGGACAGGTACTTGGGAATGACCAAAGGAACTTTCTGGTACCCCCAAATCTATGCTAGCCTGGCAGCTGCCTACCATCAAGCCTACTCTTCCTGCCTGTCCAGAACTCCAAGTTAGAAAGACTGCTACACAGTACTAGGACTGAAAGACTATATTGCTAAGAACAAAGTTTGATAGGTCACAGACTTATACTTATTCCATCTGAGCTACAAATTCACCTGTGCTCCCAGGAAGCCAAGCCAAAAAAAAAGGAAATACAGTCATCCCTCGGTATTGGCAGGGGATTGGTTCAAGGACCCCCACAGATACCAAAATATACATGGTGCCTTGAAGATATTTTCCTTGCTTTGAAAAGGTGTCTGAGTTCATCCAGCATATAACCACCTAGCATTTTATCCTTCTAACTGGGAAAAATTGTGAAGTCCCATAAAGAGACACCTTCAGTTATGAGTACATCTGGTTTGCCTGGGAATTTTCCATGTTAACATTGAACCTGGAGGATCAATCATTCTAGGTCTCAGGGTACCATATAAATGCATAGTTATGTCTTCCACAAAATTTATAAAAGTGTGGGCAGTTTATACTAAATTGGAGATGAAACATTATAAAGTATGATTTTAAGATATTTGGGCTGCAAAGCAAAAAGGAATTAGAAAGCTCTAACCGAAAGAAGTACATACAAAATACACAAGTATAAATATGTATGTTTAACCAAGAAACTGTTGCTAAGAATATCAAAAGTTTATTAGGTCAAATTCTTCATTGCAATGATAATCAATATGTGCACCAGCATTAAGATTCACCCAGTTAAAAAACAGGCTTCAAACAGTACACGTACATTTATACACAATGTCCATTTTGTCAACATGTAAAACTGAGACACTGTATGAGGAAAGATAGAAAAAGGAATCAACTTTCACCCAAGAATTTTAAAGTATCTCATCTCTGTTAAAGGGTGGCAAAGCCTAATTTTGACATTTCAGTGTTGAGGCACCATGATAGGCTAAACTCTTCTAAGGGTAGAAACAGGAAATCTGCAAGTAAAGAGGTTGTACTGGGTACATATGCTCCAAGGTCCCTTCCAATGTGAAATTTCTATGACAAAAGTCATCGCTTATGTAACCCCTTGACTTTACAGGTAAAGCAAGTCAGGCCAGAGAGTTACATGAAGTTCCAAGGGTCTAGCTCTGGCTGGTGATCAAGCCTGAACTGTCTATTAGCCATGCTCCCTTAATTATGCTTAGAAAACTTAGAACCAAAAGAGTATATGGTCAGCATGGGAAGTTAAATGACACATTTCACCTCATGTGGGGCATTTTACTCAGTTTGGTTTCAAGTTTAAAAAAAGGAATTTGAGGGCCGGCCCGGTGGCGCACTGCTACAGTGCGCCGCTTGGGAAGCGCGGCGGCGCTCCCGCCGAGGGTTCGGATCCCACATACAGACCGGCCGCTCACTGGCTG